CATATTTGATGCTCAAATGACGCGGGTGGAAACTTTGGCATGCAGTCCGTGACTGAAGCACCATTGACTAATGAAAGCAAGTAAACCAGAAATGGCCATTCACAAGTGTTTTTTTAAATATTTGCCGTTGACAGTTAATGTTTAGCTAAAACGGGCAGTTAACGACTAATGAATGATTAGAACTCCTGAGAAGACCAAAATAACTGCGAGTAAGACCTGCACCATGTTGACCAGATGACTTATTTGGGTGTGCCTCATCACATTGACAGCTTCATAACATTTCTCTAGGCAATCAGTGCTCCAGCGTATTTTTAACTGTGACTTTCAGTTCATTCCAAAAGATTGGACAGAGCTCCAAATCCAGCAATGATAAAACTGATTGACGTCACGGCAGAACTCAGCTGTTTCCTGATGCAAGAGTACACAAGAGAACAAAATCTGACATCCAGCGAGGGCAATTGCAAGCTGGCTTGGAAAGGGGCAGCAAACTACACATTTTGTTCAACAACTTGGAAGTGAGTAAGAGAACATAACAACTGAAACATTCGTGTAAAACATGAGGGACGTACCACTTCTAAAAATGCTTCCCAGCAGACCATAGGCCCTTTCCATCTCCTGAGCGACAAGCTGAAGAGAATACGAAAGTCATTGGTTAAAAAGACATACAAGATACTTCGAGGAAAATTATGGCTCACTAAATATTAATTATATTTAGCAAAAAAGCAACTCACCCGAATTTCCTTTTGTAGGCTGGCGACGTTTGGTATGCTCGCTGAGTGTATGTCCATGTTTCTGGAAGAGGAAAAGTTAGATAAAAATTGCTCATTCCAAGTACTTAGGCAGATCCAATGATAAAAGTAATACGAATGGTTGACGGTAGGGAGAATTTACTAAGCCTTACGGCACTTTTGCGTTTTTTTTAAATTTCAACGAAGGAGCCCCCCAGTCAAGGTTTGAGGTACGATATTTTGAGTTCCGGGAAGCAGAATAACTAATTGCCCAGGTGTCAAGGAGCGGTGTCAGACCCATCACACGCAGTATACAAAAAGGTTTAGGATAAAGGAGTACCTGAGAATGTAAATGCAAGATGAAAAAAAATTTTGCTACGCACGTCTTCCTCGTGTAAAATGCAGAAGCAAAATAAGGCAAAAAACAAGGGTGAAGTTAGATGCGGCAGGTGGCCTGTCACAGAAACTAACACTCCCAGCAGAGGGGACGGAGGCAAGCGCGTGAGGGTGCTATGGGCAGCATCTACCCCACTCGCTTTTCCTGCTTTTCCAAAGTCAGACAGTACGGTTAAGACCGTGGATAAACGTGGACCTTGTAGCTGACCTGGTTACTGCCACGCGTCTGCGTCGGTGTTTTTAATGGCTGCATTCCAAAAAGGGTCATTCTTTCTCACTGGAACGCACATGTGTGCATTACGCCTACGTGTGTCCAGCCGGTTATCGATAGCCACTCGCCATTAGCTGCGACCGCAGCGCGTCATAGGATATATTTCATAGGAAAAAGTGCACGAAATTATGCCTTCTTTTACTCGTTGGGTGTGTTATTCCGACCATCGCCAGCAGTGATGTCCACCATATGCCCGAGAGCAGGGACGGTGACTACAGTCAGATATAGTGAAAGTAGACGCGCCACTATCTATCCCACTCTAAACTCTTTTCCGCCTTAACCGGGGACAAGACAAAGTCGAGATGGCCGAACAGGAATCAGACGTAAGCCGCTTTCTCCAGATGCAGCCAGAAACACCGCCTAACTTAGTCTTATGTGACAGTAGTCTTTTGTGTTGGTACTACTGCCCTGTTTACCCTCACTCACCTATAGTAGGAGGCCAGAAAGATTCGAGGAGCCCGAGTCTCTGTACATGAATAGGGTTATCAAGAACTAACACCCGAAACCCTCAAAATATACATATATGGATTGTCCTGATTTTCCGGAGGAGGTACTTGGCTTCAGATACTCCGCGCTGTAGGTATCCTGTCATGCAATCGACTCTAGAATGGAGCGGTGTATGTTAGGCAGCATTGTGGGCTCTCCTAGTGCCTCATGGTTGTAATGAGCCAGTATCGAGAAAACCCGACTTCTACATAGCCATGGAGCGAAAGGGAGGCCTGAGTAAAGGCCGCTACTGAAGCACAGAAACTACAACCTCGAAGACAGTCAATTGCTTCTGCACTCCGACAGTCATGTGGAAAGATTTGGAAATAGCAGTATAGTAGAGCGTCGGTTAACGAATTTAATCAGTTCTGGCACCGAGCTCGTCATGTGAAACGCTCGTCTTGCGAAACAGTTCACTGGCTGGCTGCAGACGACTGAGGATTAAAGCCTTGGAGCCAAAAGACTCGACGGCGGACACAGGCAAACACGCATTAACTGAGCGGAAGCTCGTCAATGGAAACAACTTTTCTGTGAGTGGCTCGCTCGTTAGCTTAAATGCTCGCAGACGGGGCTGCTCATCGCCCGAGGTGCTACTTTACTTAATAGACGCTCATCCACACTTCCAATTTTAAAGATGCTCCAGCTGCTTGTTCACCTGTTATACCTATCTGCACACAACGAAAAGTGAAAACGTACTTAGAATACTGCTGGTTGACACGTCCCATCAGCTGCCACAGTAAAAAGTACTAGTATGCCAAGTGAGAGTGAGAAGCAACTTTCTTTTGGCTGTGGAACTGGTGTAATTGGCCTTTTTTTCGTGCAACAGACCTCTGACAAGTTGACTCACCGAATCCAATACCCTCTAAATGCCCCTTATGAATGAGACTTTTAGCCGCCCCTTTGTACTCCTCGAAATTATGCATGCAGTCCATTTGCTGCACTTGCCTAAAATATCCCAGGGATTGACCAACTTTATGACCGACAGTGAATGCCTTAAGGGATAACCACCGTCAAATTATTAAGGCGGAGATACGGTGGTCTGCAGCATTACTTTTGTTCAGTTGTTTGCAGGCTTCAGAGATGTTCAGCAAATAAACTAACCAATTAAGCATAAAGGGAACTGGTAACCGTCCAAAACACATTACTGTTATAGCAGCACGCGATCAGTCAACGGACATCAAAGCGAGGTAGTATTGCTAACTTTTTAAAATTTCCCCAGCAGATTCCTCAGATTTTAAAGCGGCGCTTCATCGATTTGCTTACAGGATGAAACATGCTGTGTGTTTGCCCTCAAATTCAAATAGAGGACCAGCAGAGAACGCAGCATAGCGACAGACAGTAATGCAGTAGGAACATCGATAGGAGCAAAGAAGAATGAAAGAAAGTCGCTTCCGTCTCACCGACTAACGGCAGCCTGCTTTAATCCAGCCGCAGAGATTGAAAATGTTACATTCAAACTCAGCCTTCGATCTAAGAGGGCTAAGACAAATATTTCACTTCGGATCACAGAAGCATCCATAAAATTAACATGTGTTAGTCAGTGAGAAGGCCGGGACTATTTTAATTGTGACCTCGGCTACCAACCAATCAGATCTATGTGCTCAGCTGAATAGAAACTTCGAATCAAGTAGCCGAGTGTCGCTTAGTGTGATAAAAATACGCAGGTTAACTGAATGTTAGACTAGAAAGGGTGAAAATAGTATTAAAATGAGATAGCAGGTTATGATAGCAGCTTTGAAGAATCAACTACGCCTGCCTTGAATATGCAGGAGGAATGCACTAAACTGGAAGTTTTACATATATACTTACTTGTAGTTTTCGGCCAGTCTGTTGTCCAAATCCTGTAGACGATCGTACAGTGCCTTCTTGCTCTTCCACACGTAGATTTCATTCAGTAGTTCTGGAATGACTAGAAAAGTGCGCCAGCCGACCTGCTTCTTTGACTTGAGGATATCGCCGTAGATATGGTCACCAGTGTAGAGGACATCTTTGCCCCTGGCGCGAATGAGCTGCGTGAAAACCTCGCAGGAACCTGCATACAAATTAACATGAAAGGCGTGTGTGTATAGTGTG